AATCACACTTATTTAAAAAATGAGATTAAAAATAAAGATTATTGCACTCACTCAAATTAAGTGTGATTAAAATATAATTCTATTTTTATTTTTTTTTATCACACTTCGAATAAAAATGAGATAGTTTCATTTGTGAAAGTGTGATTTTTAACTATTTTTGTAGTAGTGTAATTTTGTATATTGATTAATATGCGATTAAATGTAGGATTGGAGTTTATGTAAATGATACAACTTAGGAAACGATATAAATAAGGAAATAATACTAAATAAGGAAATAATGCAAAATCTGACATGATGAAGATTAAACTCCAAATCGTTGACAAAAAATATCATTGCAGGAGATGAATCCATTGCCCCACGTTGCAATTCCCCTCCTCCTTATGAATCAAAGCTTCAAGTAAAGGTAAGGGTCTTCTCACATCTTCATTAGAAGCATGCTAGGGTTTCTATTTTTAACTAATAACATTATTCCTGAGTTAGTTTTGTATTCATGAGTAGTTTTATATGTTTCAGTCCATGAAATTAATGCTCCATTAAAATCCATATTTTGAATGTGTTAAGTTAAATTCCTATTCATACTTTGTTTCATGGTTAATAACTCATGTTTGAACTAAGTTAAGGTATCACTATGAAACCTTCAAAAGGGTTAGTGTTGCATGATTTTATAAACTTTGAGTACAATATTGTTAGCCTTCTATGAAATCAAAATAAAGGATTATTTAATTAATTTTGGATTTTCATGTCAAACATTAAAAAATATATTTGATGGCATATTAGAAGACTATTAGTATAAACAACATACAATCACATTTACTTAGAAAATGTGATTAAAAAAAAGAAGATATAATCACACTTATTTAAAAAAATGAGATTAAAATAAATATTATGACACTCACTCAAATTAAGTGTGATTAAAATATCATTCTAATTTTTTTTATCCGCTACTACAAAAATATATAAAGATCACACTTTTTTTGTGTGATGTTTGTTATTTAATCACACCTTTTAAGTTTTATTAAAGTGTGATCTTTGGGAGTGTGATTAAAAAGGGTCATTTTAAATCACACCTTTTAAGTGTGATTAATAACATTTAGGTCACACCTTTTAAGTGTGATTAATAATATTTAGATCACACTTTTTAAGTGTGATTAATAACATTTAGATCACACCTTTTAAGTGTGATTAATAATATTTAGATCACACCTTTTAAGTGTGATTAAAAATATTTAAATCACATTTTTAAGTGTGATTAACAACTTTTAGATCACATCTTTTAAGTGTGATTAATAACTAATAAAACATGTGATAATAAACATTTAGATCACAGATTTTAAGTGTGATTAATATATAATAAAACACGTGATTAATATTCAGATAAGATCACATGTTATATGCATTTGAAGAATGTAATACATACTATATACTATATTTTGAATCACAACCATATATTGAATGGAATAACGTCATATATTTCATAAATAAAAGTTAAATGTTCAAAAAGTATATACAAAGGAATTAGTAAAAAAAATTTAACTGTGCTTACATATATTAAAAAATAAAAAAATAAAAAAACTTGAAAAAACCAAGTTGTTGAATTCTTTGACCATATTTTGCATTTCTCCAATAAATTTCTGATCTGAAAAATAAAAACACAAATTAATTCAGTAACGGTTAGAAGCATATGAATAAACTTAATATTTTTGTAGAGACTTACAAAAGACAAAAAACCCACATTCCACGTTTGTAGGTTGTTGCAGAGACTACATAAAAGTATTTTCATTATTATTAGAAACTATATATAAAGTGTTATGATCAAGTTGAACAACCATTAGCATAAATATAAGTATGATAAAATTAGAGAAAATGATATTGATTACCTGAACTACTTTCCAAACTGGATTGGTCCTCCTCCTTTGGGTAGTTTCATAAATTTTTAAAGCACTTTACAAAAGAAATTCCAGATGTCAAAATATTTTTAGAGTAACTCAAATTGCTTAAAAATGTACGAACTAGCCAAACTTACATGTTTATTACAATTTCAAAGCTTGTGTTTATTTTAGAATTAATCGGATCAAGCAAGTACACAATCATCAATGTTAGATCAATGACTAACAATATCGAATGGTATCTACAATTGAACAAGTCACAAGTATAAGCTTAATAAGTTTATTATCATTTGAACACATGAAATAAATAGTTTTAGATAATTATCCAATATTATAAGGAATTAAAATCAATTGTTCTAGCATAGCCTCCTCTAATCTTCTTGCTGATTTTGATTTCTCTCCAGCCATTGTTTTTCCACTAACGACACAAGGGTTAACAAATACAAATTGTTTTCTCAAATTGGAAGCCTTCAACACTTGATGGAGATGACTAATAAAATAAACAAATTTTAATTAAATTCGTAATTCATAAAATCTGCAGAAATAACTATTGATGTAGCAAATTTTCCTTACCTTATGTACAACATGATACATGTAACAGATAATTCTTTTACATGACATATGTACTCCATGTCTACTCTTTGAAGTTGGATATTGATCTCCTCCCCAAATATATCTTTCTCTAGTGGAATGTCTATGGCTTCATCATATTTGTATCAAGTACATTAAGGCGGTGTTTGGGAAGCAGTGGGATAGGCTATTTTATTGACTTACATTTTTAAAAAAAAAATGTAGCTCGGCAGCTACATTTTTGGCACTGACAGCCTACCACTATACTTGGCAAGCTGTCCCACTGGTAGTAAATTACACTTTTGCCCCTTTACATCAATTTTGAAATAAAATGGGATTAAAGACAAATTTGTCATTTCAATCTCAAACATCATTTCAAACACATTTTTCAATACAACTCAAATAAAACTTCATCCCATCTTCCTAAACACAAAAACTAAAATAGCTTACTAAAATAGCCAAAAAATCAAAAAACCTAAAAAATATGCACTTCCCAAACACCCACTAAGTTGTGACATTGACACACCACTGCCAGTGGCATCATCACCACCACCACAAAGCTCTTTGAAAAAACACTAAAATTGGCACAACAGCACCACTGGCGTGGCTGCTATCAGTGTCACCACTATCAGCACTACACAACTGACACATGTCACACAGCATAATTATACTAATAGTTGATTAGCAAATTCCTGAAGACTAAAACTAACAAATTAAAAAATTTCAAATTGGAAATTGAACTAAAGATTTGGCCATCCAATATGTTACAGGGTCTTGAGGAATTATAGAATTCAATCTGCTAGATATCCAGATGCTGGAATACAGAATTGGAGCTTAGAAAGCTCTTTCCAATCGAAATCCACCCTCAAAATGCACCCTAGAAGTTAAAGAAAGATGAGTCTGAAAGGCAACACAGACATGTTTGTTTGGTAATACAACTCAATTCCAGATGGCCTTAATCTACTAGACAAATTGAAAATTAAGACAAATAGAACGCATGTTGCAATAGCTTAGGTTAACATAATTACATAAATAAAAGTCCAATGTATTTTTTATGCGTCAAGTTTTCGAGGATTTGATAACAATAATAATTACCTCTTTGTTTTCGCATATTACTGCACTCATTAGGGGAGTTTGACCTGCTTTATCAATAGCATCAACCTCAGCTCCTTCCTCAATTAAAAGTTCACACAACTCTGAGTTCCCTGTGCTTGCTGCACGATGCAAAGGGGTGCATCCAACCTAAAAGAAATTAAAATCAACCAAATATTGAGGGAAGAGGTCCAAGACCTATGCTATCAGCAGCACAAAACAAGATTAACGAAAGTATATATATAAAAGCAAAAAGGCAATAGTGTGAAGTTACATGCCTTGTCCTTCAAATTGATGTTTGCACCATGTGAAAGTAGAATTTCAGCTATTTTCAACCAACCCTTGCTAGCAGCATAATGAAGAGCAGTACGACCGCTATTATTTTTCAAATTAACATCAACCCCTGTGCATTCGGCAGAAGTTTAAAAAATGTCGCTGTTGATATACGATGATATCACTTTGACAAGAAACTACAAACTTTGGCTAAATGGCTAATTTGAACAAATAGAAAGAAAAAAACTCCAAGTATACTCAAGATAGATCCTATAAAAACACCAGCAAAAATTGTTCAATAACATTCGTAAAACCAATTGAAGGCACAATTAGTAACACACTATCAGTTAATGGGTCACATCATGCACACCATTTCCCATAATAGTGCCAAATGTCTCAAGTACCTCAAAGAAAAGAGATGGTACTTGGGAGGCTCACCACATTGAGGTCAAAGCATAGCAATCCATAAGCAAAGGACATACACCAACGATTGATGGATCAATCATCAATGAATATATAAAACTCTATTCTTCATATCACAATTTACTCTGTGGAATATGATTCAAGAGTGATTCAATCAGAGATATCATTTTAATGTCAAAGACAAATACGTGGTGTCACCAATTCATCTTTGTATTAATGATTTTTTTCCCCCAAATTCATCCTACTTAATAATGTTTTTGTTGGAGTGATATGCATTGTTGGGTGCTTTCCTAATAGATAAGCTGTTGGGACTAGTGGTGAAAAGTTTTAGGCTCAAGTCTCATTGTCTGCATTGGTTTTCCATGTACATTCTATTTCTCTCTATGTTTGAATGATTGCATCTAGCTGTGCAAGTCAGGATTACACGTGAAGTAGGGTGTTAAAAAGCTTGATATGCATTGTTTGGTCCATTTCTTAACATCTCACAGTTTAAGCTTTTGAGACTAGTAGTCATCTAACATTCTCACACCCTTGACCACCCTTAAAACCTCACAGAAATTGGCATATTGAAGGTACAGCACACTGCACAGAATCAGCAAGCTGCTTGAACACAAACACAAACAATTAGAAAGATAAAATGAAGAATTCACCCATTAAAGCAAGCTACACGAACAAACACACATTTTTTAAAGGTCTCCATGAAATAGAATCTCTCAAAACATACTTCCTCTAATCTAAAAGGAGTACATGTGCTAGTCTGCACCATTACATCATGAATGATACCATATTAGTTACAGTTAATATAAAATAACCTTGCCAACCTTAAAATTCTCACAATAACTAAAGCAACAACTCTGAGCCAGTGCACTGGACTTGCAAGCAACCCATCACTCACATTCATGCAGTCTTCTTCTCCCAATTTTTTTTCTTTCTCTTGAAAGATATATTTGTTTCTATGACATACAACTAACTAGCTTGGACTTATTTTCAAGACCATCCAACACAAACTTGAAACAAATAATAGAAACTCTTTTGGAACTTGATAA